ACTATTTCGAGGACTATTATATTGGCAGACCACAACGTTGAGGTCGTAGATAACCTATGTTTCCACTTGATATTTGGAACATGCACACACGTGCATCAGATCATATGATAAAAACAAACAACTCAGTTGAAGGCTGCCACAGAAGTTTCAAGTCGAATATGAGGTATTACCACCCAAATCTTTGGAAATTCATTGACTTTATTAAAAAGAAACAATCGATCCTAGAGGTTTATTGTACTCAGGTAAATTCAGGTCACTGTTTACCAAAACAGAAAAAATATATATTCTTAGCAGCGCTTAAATTTCTACTGATATTAACATTTTTAATGAGCCCACCATTATAGAGTACTTGCGAGGCAAATTTATAATAAAACAGTTTTTTTTCTAATGTTTGTTTTATTTTTAATTATTAATTTTTGTTTTCATCATCTTTGGTTTTTCTTTATATAAGCCTGGATTTGGGAGTTTTTGTCAAGAGGGTTTATATCGGGGTTTTTTCGTCCAGGGTGTTTTAGTCCATCCATCCATCCATCCATCCATCCATCCATCCATCCATCCATCCATCCATCCATCCATCCATCCATCCATCCATCCATCCATCCATCCATCCATCCATCCATCCATCCATCCATCCATCCATCCATCCACCCATCCACCCATCCACCCATCCATCCATCCATCCATCCATCCATCCATCCATCCATCCATCCATCCATCCATCCATCCACCCATCCATCCATCCATCCATCCGTCCGTCCATTACACTTAACTTAGTTTCTTCCATTATGTCCGGTGTTTTTATTGTGTCCAATGGGATAGCCGGTTCGAAGTCCTCCTCATCTATTAGTGATACTTGGTTTTCTTCTTCTGCCTCCACCACTCCTGACACTGCCGCTAACATCGGGTGCTCCTTGATGTCGTCTGGTTTTTGTCTGTGATGGTACAGCATTATCCGATTTACATGGACCACCCTAGTACTGTCCGCTGTTTTAAAAACATAGTCCAAGTCTCCGATTTTTAAAGACCTCGTAAGTTCCCACCCATCTTAGCTTTAGCTTGTTCAATAGTTGGAACTTCAATATCAGCACATAATGCCCCACTTTGATATCTTTGGTTGTGGCTGATCTATCATAGTAGTTCTTTGCTTTATCTTTCCCACCTCCTGATTTGCTGGTTGCGTACCTGCATGCCTTTTGCAACTGCTGTTTAAGGTCCATCAAGTAGTCATATGCAGCTCTTGTTTTATATTCCCTCACTTCTCCTGTGAGGATATCCTTTACGATGCTCATTGGACCCCTCACTTTTCTGCCAAACATGAGTTCAAATGGTGGGTAACCCGTGCTTTCATTCGGTACTTCCCTGTAGGCAAAAAGTGCTCCTGGGATGAACACGTCCCAATCGTCATTCTTGTCTACAACGCTGCATTTCATCGTCCCGTTATCTGAGAGTATGACTTCCGGGAATCCCATCCTCGTGAGGATAGAGAGTAGCGCATCTTGAAAAGAGTTTCTTGTAGGCATCGTGGGGGGCGAAGCCCCCCCCCCCCCCCCTCATGAAATTTTTTTACCGCCCCCCCCCCCCCCCGAACGAAATGAAATTTATATAATTTATATTGAAGATATATACTTTTAACAGTGTCCGCCCCACCGAAGAAAGTCTACCCCCCCCCCGACAATTTCAAGTGCCCCCCCCCCCGGAGAAAAAAGTGTGGAAGAAACACTGATCTTGAATTTCTGCTGTTGCTACACTTTTCAGCGGTACGGCTTCTGGCCACCGTGTACATACTGTAGCAAAATTGCTACAGTTATTTTGCAAAATAAACATTATTTGATAAAATAATTGAATTTCTTCATTATTTATGTTATCTACACACCACAGCCCACCAAAATTAATTCTTAAAATGAAGGGCTAATATATAAAAGTGTGTGTGTATGTGTGTGTGTATGTATGTGTGTCTAAGATGGGTCAACAAGGTTTGTTGTAGACTATAAGAGACTTAACGCGGTCACAGTCTACGACGCGGAACCCATTCCAGATACAGATGAGCAGTTCGCCCAATTAAATAGGGCAAAATATTTTTCAAAACACGACCTCACAAAAGGGTATTGGCAGATCCCCATGCAAAATGACAGCAAAAATTCACCGCATTCGTCACACCCTGGGGCTTATTTCAGTTTAATTACCTGCCCTTTGGCCTATGCACGGCACCCGCCACATTCGCCAGATTGATGCGAGTATAAATGTAACCGTGATTTAAGGCTGGTCCAGAAACACTTGAACTCAGAACCATTTCTTATTTTACCTAATATTAATGAGCATATTATCCTCAGGGTCGACGCCTCGTCCCGACGGGGCAGCCTTGATGCAAATGAGAAATGGGTAAAATACATCAGTAGAAAACTCCAACCGAGAGAGACTCGGTACTCTACTATAGAAAGAGAGTGCCTAGCAATTGTCTGGGCCACAGGCAAACTAGCGTTGTATTTATACAACGCTAGCTTCGTACTGCAGACGGACCAGCGTGCCCTAAAATACTTTAATAACTGTAGATTCAATAATGCCAGACTGACACGCTGGTCCATACTGCTACAGGAATATAAATTTACTATAGAACACCTACCAAGGAGGGATAAACGAATGCAGTATAAAAGCTAGAGTGAATGATTGTCAGGGCTTAGCTGGTAGCGGTTAGGACGAGGGCTACTCTGGAATGTGTATATGTGAGACCGAATAAAAGTATAGAACGTAAACACGAGTCGTTCTTGAGTTGAAACTAACCAGGACGTAACAATTGTTATACATTATGACATTTTTTTTCTTCAATCGTAGCACAACAATGTACACCGTTTTATGTATATATTACTGAGTAAGTGCTAAATCTAAGTAAACATAGTATACAGTAGCCTAATGCTTGACTATTTTTACTATTGTTACAGATTTTGACCCTAGTTTTCTTCTATAATTTATATTTTATTATTGTAAAATATAAAAGAAAAACAAAACTAAGGTGGTGTAAGAACCAACAGTTGACTAGAGTCTACCTACTAGATGTTAGGAATTCTTTTATCAACTAATTATTATACTACAGAAAAGTCACTATACAGTAGTCCCAGCTAATGTCATGGTCATACCGTTGCATGGTGTATCAAAACTGCTACATACCGTAATTGGACATTATCAGCACAAATATAAAGAAATAGTATGCAAACAACTTATTTAAGGTACAATTACTCACCTAAGATTGGTAAATATGTTTTGTCAAGAAGAAAAACACGGCCTGTGATTTTTTATTATTTTCTCAAAAAAAAAAACACCTCGATAACAGCTGTCCAACCAGTGTAAAAAAAACTCGAATTGTGTGAAAAGAAACACACCTATAGTCTGTTTCGGGTATACAATTTGGGTCAAAAGCGATCAAGCTAGAGTGTGGCATATTAAAAACTCAGATTTTAACATTTGTGTAAATTCATTGGGGGTTATTTCACTTTGTAGCAAAATTGATACAACATGAAATGAAGGGTTTGGGTGTCTTGCTTTTTGTGAGTCGTCAAAAAGCGTTAGGTCATTTAATTATGGCCCCCTAAATCAGAACGTTTCGGCGCGTAAGCTGGCCACACTCAGTTGTACATGTAATAAACATGTTTCTGTCTTTTATACATTACTATACCATTCATCTGATCACCATAAAAATGTGGGCAGTTGATCTCCAGTGATCTCCATTTTCTATTTTAGTAGGCTACATGGGGTCCGCTTATTTTGTGTGTTGCAGAGGGGGACATAGGTACTACTTGAATCATCAGTCCAGCTGCAACTGGCCGTCCACTGGCGGCCTTATCAACCGAAGCGCCCCTACAATCGTTCAAAAGACCACCCTACATTAGAGATACGTCAGACTACCAAATTCGATGACTAAATATAAACACAAGTTACACCCATCACCCGTGATGTAATGTAACCTGTGGCTCTTTGTCTTCGCACATGAAAAACATGAGTAGGCTACCGTTTCAGCTAGCTTGATGAAATTCCATATATTTATAAGTATTATTTCAAATTTGTAGTTTAGTATCGAATTTTCAGTAATTTCCAATACCGGAAATGGAACTTATTCTACTTTCGGAATAATGGAAACTGAAAACAATTTAAAAATTATATTAACTTCAAATTTAGACAAATTTGACGTCAAAATGTGTTGTGAAAATGAATACGCCCCTCATCCTGTCGTTTGGGATCTGTCTTGTGTTCAAGACTAAGTTAAGTATTTTATGAAGTCAATTGGCTACTTCTTCCTCATCATATAAATCTTTGTTTCCTATTAATGGAACTAATTCCATTGATAAGAAACAAAGATTTATATAACATATTAGAGGCCTGTAATAGTTATGTGAAGAAACTCAATTACTTACTGTCTATTAATACTACATTTGTTTATAACTAATTAATTTCGATCGGTCTACTGTTCTCCGGCTGCGTTACTTTTTTAAAGCCAGAAATCTAGTTTATCTTTCGATTTAGATACATTCATTGCATTCTAAAATTAGGAGAACTCTCAAGCGTATCCTATTGAAAATTGATATTAGAGTTAGATCCTGTTAAAATAACTAGCTATAACCGACAAAATTTAGCTGTGTAAAGCATTTAACTTTTAAATGGGCTCAATTGCTCTAATTTTCTTTGGGGGCCATGTTTGTTGTAAAAAATGTAATTAAAGCATTTGTTCTGAACTTTGATAATTAAAGAAGTGTTTCTAAATTAGAATATTTATCTGAATTATATTAACTTCTTTAATTATTTTTAATATACCTTCACTTTAAAGAATATACTTAAAATTTTACACATACTGCAGATTTTGTGATCTCATGTTTAGACAAATATTTAAACAACAAGAATAACAAAATGTTACGATACTAACTTGTAAAGAAAGCAGAGTTTTAGTAGCATATAGATAGAACACTATGAAAACATTTAATTATGTTACTTTTAAAGAAACACGAACTCAGTATGTTAGATCAAACATTTATTAATAGTTCCAAGGTCTATATCTAACAGCTGACTGATTTATTGAAACTATCAAAATATATTTAATTGTTTGCAAAATATGCTAATAATGCACAAAGTAAATTCAGGCAGTTAATGAAAAAAAGTTGTTTTATTTACTGAACCTCGTTCACCCGCGCATGGGTCCACTTGTCTATGTTGTGAAAACGTTTCATGTCATATAAAGATCTAGATTTGGGATACCGACTGCTTTAAACGAATCATAGCAATCTAATGCAGATGTGTAATTTAAAATTTTTACGTTGTTCAGGTTTACCTAAAATAAAAAATAAAAAGAAATTAAACTATTGTGGCTGTTTGTATTTCTGAGTTGAACTTCAGGGCTAATCACCTCAGCTTTTCTGTATGACTGTGTATCTGTGCAAATGTCTATCACTCTGTCTGTGCGTGTCTGCTTGGTAATCCGTGTCTAAATGTTTGTGTGAGTACGCGTGTTTGTGCTCATTCGTCGGCATCATCCTTCTAATTGTGTGTCTGTGTCTTTCTGTATATTTCTGTACCTGACTTCATAAATCATTGCCTATTTATATATGTATAACTGTGTGTCTCTGTGTCAGTGTGTAATTTTGTCTGTTTGTGTGTCGATTTTTCTTTGTATCTCTCTGTCCTAGATATACCTGAAATTCCCTATGAAGTGATATGATTTCAAATGCAATCTTTTCATTCCCAATTCCTCTGTAAGGCAATTTAACTCGTCGAGGCTTCTGTTTACTCATATTTCCATCGTTCATCACTATGATAAAGTCCATCCTGTTTGAACTCATAAGTACATTGAAACCTCGTTGTTTAAAATTGTAGCAGTAGTAGCCAAACTCTATTCTATTGAGAAAAAAAGGGCTTCATTATATAAAAATAAAGCAGGAGTGATCTCCCCTAAGCGAATATTCTTAATAAATAACACTAATGTTGATGGCATCTCCAATGCAGTTGGGATATTATCTTTTTAAAAAAATCATTTTTCAAATACTTAAATTTTTAAACAGAATAAAATCTGATAGAAAAAATAATTTCGCACCCATTGAATAGCAAAAGTCTCTACATAATAGTGCTTAAGACAGAGGAATCAAGTTAAAAAAAATTTCATATCCTTTTTTTTTTGAGAAATCGGAGTATGGTTAAGTACTACTTCCGTTCTCCAGAAATTACTCAAAATTTGTCATAAAACATAATATACTTAGATCTTTTACATAGCCTATATGCGAAATTCTTCTAACTGAAACAATACTTATGTTATAGGCTTTTACAAACCAATTACAAAGTTCCAATTACATTTATCGAATGTCGCTGAAAAGTTAAAAGAGTCTAACGCCCCCCCCCCCCCCCAGAACGAAATGGAATATTTATAGAAAATATTTACTTTGAACAGTGTTCGCCCCCAGCCCCCAGCGCATCCCCCACCCCTGAGAAAAAAGTCTGGAAGAAACACTGATATTCATATATGCAATTTTGTTAATATAGCTGTAACGGTACTCAATGTTATCCTGCTTACAGAAAGACACAAAGACAAACAGACACACAGACACACACACACAGACACATTCACACACTCATACAGACATACAGACAAATTGCAAAACTTAAATTTTCCGACTAAGTGGATGGATGGATGGATGGATGGATGGATGGATGGATGGATGGATGGATGGATGGATGGATGGATGGATGGATGGATGGATGGATGAATGGATGGATGGATGGATGGATGGATGGATGGATGGATGGATGGATGGATGGATGGATGGATGGATGGATGGATGGATGGATGGATGGATGGATGGATGGATGGATGGATGGATGGATGGATGGATGGATGGATGGATGGATGGATGGATGGATGGATGGATGGATGGATGGATGGATGGATGGATGGATGGATGGATGGATGGATGGATGGATGGATGGATGGATGGATGGATGGATGGATGGATGGATGGATGGATGGATGGATGGATGGATGGATGGATGGATGGATGGATGGATGGATGGATGGATGGATGGATGGATGGATGGATGGATGGATGGATGGATGGATGGATGGATGGATGGATGGATGGATGGATGGATGGATGGATGGATGGATGGATGGATGGATGGATGGATGGATGGATGGATGGATGGATGGATGGATGGATGGATGGATGGATGGATGGATGGATGGATGGATGGATGGATGGATGGATGGATGGATGGATGGATGGATGGATGGATGGATGGATGGATGGATGGATGGATGGATGGATGGATGGATGGATGGATGGATGGATAGATGGATGGATGGATAGATGGATGGATGGATGGATTTAGAAATACCTTTTTTTTCTAAGACTTCGTAGCGTATCTGCGCTATTTAAAATCGTCTTGTCACCTAACTGGTGTTTTGAAATGTTAGTGACACTGTTCTAAGGATTGAAAGTAGGCACTTTAATTTTTTTTACTTTCTTGTATAAAAATAAAACTACTGGAACATCTCAAATATTTACTGTACATTTATGCAGATATATAAATCACTTTTGAAATAAATGTCTTCACATATTTGTGTCTTTATACATATATATTGTTTTTTGTAGGACTTTTTCACTCTCTCCTTCCCTCTTTATATATATATATATATATATATATATATATATATATATATATATATATATATATATATATATATATATATATATATAATTTTCAATGCAGAATAATCAAAAACACTTACGGGGTTCATTGTTGATAGACTGCTAATCTAAAATAAAATCGTATTAGAACTGTTTGTTTATTTTGCGAAATATACCAAGAACTTTGTTAAACCTAACTCATATCACAGCCAATTACAAATATATACAAATACATAAACATAAACCAACCCTTATTACAACCATAAACATAAACATAATCTTAAGTCCCTTTTTGAAACTAAAAAAAAACACCATATCTACACCCACAAAACAAACATAAATACAAATATGAACACTAACATAAATACAAACATAAATATAAGCATACACATAAAACAACCTTTACTTTAACCTCAAATAAAAACATCAACATAAATATAAGCTATGTCCAATCTCTGCACCTCTACGCCTAAAAAACAACCACATAAAGACAAAAACACTCAAATACAACATCAATCGAAAAACCTAACTCTCACCACAATGTCAAACACAAACATAAACATCCACTCAAACACAAACAGAAACACAAATTTAAATTTGTTCTAATGTAATTGTATTTTTATACCACACAAATGGAAGTTATTTTGTACACGTTTTCCAGATAAAATAAAAAAAAGTTGTGAAGGATAATAATTCAGGTGGATTCATTTATTAAACTATTCGTTAAAAAAATTAAATTGAAAAACATATCACGTAACACATACTCTCGTACCCACACAATGCTTAAATACTATTCATAACCAGCTTTATTGTAATAATTCACTTGAAGGAGAAAAATTATTTTCTTAAAATATATGCTTATACACCTCTTTTGAAATTACTATAAAGAAAAAAGATGAGATCCTGAACCCGCTTTTTAGTTATTTAAATAGTTATATATATATATATATATATATATATATATATATATATATATATATATATATATATATATATATATATATATATATATATATATATATATGCCTATATCATCTAAACATTCATTAATATACATGATTGTTAAGGGAAATTATTTTCAATAGCAAAAAAAAATGTTTTTTTTAGGAATAAATAGATTTAACCATATAAAATATGAAAATGTGTGACTTTTCACCGTAAGCATGTGACTTTTTGACCCGCACTTGGGTAAAATGTCACAATACTAAATCACCATTTTGCAAGTCTGTCATAGGCATATAGTGAACAGCTATTCAAAACGGCTCTGCATACAGTTATCTGAAATGTAGAACTAGTATCTGGTGCATTTGCATTGTTAAAGTTACTAAATTCTTGTCTCCAGACCCTAAAAAGTGAAATTTATGACTTTTCACCCACTCCTCCCTTATTTTAAAATTCATCAATCTAGGTATAACGGTTCTTAAGTTTCCGTGTTCACAGTCATGCATAACATACAAACGGACAGAATAGCAAGGCCCAGTTTTTCCGATTCTATTACGCGTAAAACGCCGACATTTTGATGAAACTGGATTTAGAACTTTCGCCCAATTAAATCAAGACCCCTGTACTCCGTATAAGATGAAGTACTGAGTTGTAAAACGTTGAAAACTGTCAACATTTCGTGTGTTTTTTGTCCACGATTACAATATTTCCTCTATACTCTGTATATCAGAAAGCGAAAAGAATTTCGCTTCAATTGAACATAAACAATGTGATTATAAAGGAGGGGAAAATTAGCGTTTTATAAAGGAAATTGATTAATTATTAAAAGTTTACAGAGGATGTAATTAAGTCACATTTTATGTCGAATTGGATAGTCTACGAGTAATTACTTACGTAAAACTTTTGAAATAAATCGGTCCTCTATAAGTGATATATTTTTATAAATCGGAAATAGCATAAAGTACTACTTTCGGTCACCGAAAATAACTCAAAATTTGAAAAAATCAAAATGATGTTCTTATAAATTTAAAAATTTATTTAAAGTATCGGCATTTTAGAAACCAGAAATACAGTAAAGCAGTGGCGTAGCCACCGTAAAGCTAGCGTAAACAAGGCATAGGGGCCCGAGGCAAATATGGGCCCTTTTCCCTCTATAAAAAATTTGGTGACCAGAAAGAAGTGCACCGGAAAAAAGCGCAAAACAAAAAGCGCATCGGAAAAAATGCGCAAACGGAAAAAAGCGCAAACAGAAAAAAGCGCACACAGAAAAAAACGCAAACAGAAAAAAGCGCAAACAGAAAAAAGCGCATACAGAAAAAAGCGCAAAAACAAAAAAACGCAAACGGAAAAAAGCGCAAACAGAATAAAGCGCAAACGGAAAAAAAGCGCAACCAGAAAAAACAACGAAAAATGTGCAAAAGAGAAATTTAGCACAAGGACGTATATGGAGTAGATGACACATTTATACATGACTGTTAGGGCTGTTGTGAGAGTGTCGTGTTTGATCACGTGATCTACTACCATTTAAAGCATACCACTACCATATGCATTCCCATCACCACGATACAGGCGATAATCGCTTTACACAATGCCTATTATTTTCTTGGTCAATTTTTATGCAACTACTATTCTCGTATAAATAAACCTAAAAGTATCCTTGATATCGACATTACACGAAGTATCTCTCACATTCTCCCTAGTCCGAACTACCTAGCTTGCATACCATAACAACCCGTTCCTATGGCACAACTTCACTCTTTTTCATCCGCGTCATCAAACATGCATTCGTCATATCTCTCGCACCAACATTCTTTCGCACTAAAATAACAATTATGTATTTAATATTATTTCAGATCATGACGCACCTACCTACCTACCTACCTACCGAACCACCTACCCACTAACCCAATTACCCACTTACCCACCTACCCACCTACCTACCTACCCACTTACCCACTTAACCACCTACCCGCCTACCTACATACCCACCTACCCACCTAAAAAGTATCGGCGAAGTTCTTTAGTTTCGTAAACTGCACTAGACATCTTTTTTTTTATGAAAATTCATTGACATCATTGACATATGTTATATATATGTTACATTTTGCGACAACCTTAATTAGTTCGTTGGGCTTGTATGAAAACTCATTTCGAACTAACTCAATTACATGCTATTTATTTTAACATTACACGGTAAGCGTCATCCAACTGTTGGGATGTGAGGTGAGGACAGGGTCGACACTAAACCAACACGAAAGTACGAAAGAGACATAGACTGCCTATTAGAGAATGGACCCCCCTAACTTTCCTAACCCCACCATTTATTATACCCTACCTAACCTCTAAATTTCCTGCGCTCTATGTCACTTCCCTCCCAATCGTTCCTATTCTACATAATTGTGTGTTCTATTTATTTACATTCTTTAATCTCAATATAACTAAAATAGACTATTGTTTGAAGGGTAATGAAAACGGGAGCCGGACGTTTTCCCGAAAGACACTTGCCCGAATGCCGTTTGCCCGAAGGCCGATTTCCCGAATGGACACTTGCCCGAATGCGACAAATGCCCGAAGGGACACTTGCCCGAATGCGACAAACGCCCGAATGGACACTTGCCCGAATGCGACAAATGCCCGAATGGACACTTGCCCGAATGGGACAAATGCTCGAATGGACACTTGCCCGAATGCGACAAATGCCCGAATGCCACTTGCCCGAAGGCCGTTTGCCCAAAAAAATGTTAATATAAGATAATAAATAATATTTCTAAATAGAAATTCTTTAATCAATTTAAGTTTGAAATTTTGATTATAAACACAATTCTAAGCATAAAACAAAGTTGTTTATATTTTTAAATTTAGCTATTATTATTTTTTTTTTCAAAACTGAGAAAGTGCTGTATGAAAAACTTTATTCTTTAATAAATGTAAGGTGATGTTGGCGGCGGTGTTCTAACATTCTTTTGATGTATGTTTTGAACAACTTGTTTAGCCGACGTGTTGCGGTGGTTATATAGCTTTTATGACACGGCGTAGGCGGCGCGGCGTCTCGCAACATTGAACAGAGGCGCGTTTGTTTGTTTATATTGTTATGCTTAACTTGTGTGGTGATCATTTAACAAAAGAATGAGGCGAGGTCTAGGCGGCGAATTTAAAAACTAAACGTAGTCAGATATGTTTGATCTCCTTTTAATGCACCTTGTTAAGACAATGTGTTGAAGCGATTACTTAATAAAGAAAGCAAAACTCATTTTAAAATCCGGAGATGAATGAAAATTGTATTTTTGTCTAATTTCATATATGGAAGAAAAAGTATGTTTCTACACTTTTTAAATATCAAATGCAAATTAATTTAAAATATCTGCGTGGTAATATATAATATTATATTTTTCACTTTCTTTTTGCTTAGATGTGTTTTGTTTACCAACATTTTAAATTTAAATTGATTACGAATGATTATTTAGTAATTTATAATGTTAAAATTTTCGGGCAAACGGCCTTCGGGCAAGTGGCATTCGGGCATTTGTCCCATTCGGGCAAGTGTCCATTCGGGCATTTGTTGCATTCGGGCAAGTGTCCATTCGGGCATTTGTCGCATTCGGGCAAGTGTCCATTCGGGCGTTTGTCGCATTCTGGCAAGTGTCCATTCGGGCATTTGTCGCATTCGGGCAAGTGTCCATTCGGGCATTTGTCGCATTCGGGCAAGTGTCCATTCGGGAAATCGGCCTTCGGGCAAACGGCATTCGGGCAAGTGTCTTTGGGGATTTTGTCGTAGACCCATGAAAACATGTAAAAACAAAAGGGACGCTACTCTAAATCTATGCGAATACTTATATGTAACAATCCTAACACCAACCAAAACATGTACTGAACAGCAGAATGGGCAGCAAGCATGTTGCCAGAGTTTCTTCCAGGCATCTCCTTTACCGCCCTCCCCCCTCCGAACGAAATGGAATTTATAAAGTAAACATACACTTTTACTAGTGTCCGCCCCCCGAAAAATGTTGACTCCCCCGAAAATCCCCCCCCCCCCCCCCCGGAGAAAAGAGTCTGGAAGAAACACTGCATGTAGCCTATATAACAGAAGAGCTATTGTTGTTTATATCATTTTGCATTCGTACGGTAAACATTTCAGTAAAAGACCTTCAAAAACCTTCCATAACCTTTTTATAAAGATACAAAGAGT